CCACACAGTTCTTCCTCCCCTAAAGCCCCACAATCATTATATTATCATTACATCAATCGTGACTTGCGGTATTGTTAACTCTGGAAAGATCAAGTATGAAAATAACCACTACAGCAGTTATTATAATCACGGTGTATGGAAGAACATTATAGTACTGGTGGGAGGGGAATATGCAGGAAGTCAGTTCTGTTCCACTCCGGAGGTTCTGGCAGAGAATGGATTGGGTTTTGTTCCACTCTGCTGAAACTCTAGAATAGAGTATGGATTGCTGGACTAATTCCAGTCCAGCCATGTGCAAAAAAGATGTAACAGCTATTTTGTGCATGTTTCAAGGCCTCCATGCAACAAGGAATAGTGATAATGTTATGTCATAGCTACACCAGAGACCTTGGAGAAAACAAAGTGAATATATTATAGCCATGAATATATACAGATTGTGCTTGGCCCTTCCCTGAAGACTATTTTTGGATCCTGATTCTGTATTTTATTGTTATCTTTCCATCTATCCATCTATCCATCTATCCATCTATCCATCTATCCATCTATCTATCTATCTATCTATCTATCTATCTATCATCAAACAGCACAAAATAATTAAAACATTAAAACATTAAAAATATTAAAACCATTGTGCTAAAACCTATGCAGGCCGCAATTTTCAACCCCCAAAGGCTCTAATAAATAACTATGTCTTGCGGTGGTAATGAAATTATACCAACAATGTGCCAATCGAGCCTCCAAGGGGAGGACATTCTACAGCTGGGGTGCTGAGGCAGACAAGCTATGACCCAAGACATTTTTAGTGCTTGAAGTGGAGCAGGAAATGCCTACCCCTTCCGTCAACTCAAGATGCACATTGCCCAAAGTGAGGCAAAATATCTGGTTGGGTCTGCAGCAGAAAATCCCACAACTAGAAAATCTCTGTCCCTAAAAACACAGTAAGAACTAACTAACAATTTGTTGCCTTTTCATAATAAGTAACACCTGATGTCTAAGAAAGTTGCCTTATTCTCTAACTGGCCTTGTGGCAAGTCCCAAGTCTGAAAGCGATGGATACAGTCTGGTCAGTGCAGATACATTCTGATTAGGATGTGCCACAATATCATTTGAAATATAGATAGCCTTGTCTGATTTCAGAAGCTAAACAGGCTTATGGAGGACCCCTTCCAGCCAGAGATGACAATACTGGGCTAGACAGCATACTGTTTTCACTCAGTATAAGATAAATTCATCTTACGAAACTCTTGTCTTCAAATATATCAAGAAAATTGCTCTATATCAAGGAAAAGCACCAGTCTATCTGATTCAGTACTGCCAACATTACCCAGCAGCAGTTCTCTAGAGTTTCAATCAAGCGTCTCTTCAAGTCTGACACGAAGATGCAAAGGGTTGAACCTAGTCATTTCCAGCCTGAAAAGTCCTACTTGTGATTTAACATTGAACTACCTCCCCTCCCATATGCTCAACTGAATACTGTACTGCCTCACACCTCATAGCATCAGATTATCCACCTGATGTACCCTGGATTAAGTTCACAACTCAGTTATGAGGTAGGTTTATAAAACCTCTCAGGCTTTCCACACTCAGGAAACATAGACAACAACAAAATTTTATTCCTGCTACACCTTTGCCACTTGACAGTATAATATACTGAGAGAAACACACTCTGAATCTAGGCCGCTGTTTTAATATGGGATACAATGGAACTCTGAAATAAAAACAGTACTAACTTCTTTGACTGCTTCAGAGAAACCTTCTAATCCATAAAAAGTACACTAGTCCAAACACTTAGCTTTCACTGCAATGCCATTCTGTTCCCAACCAGAGGAAGGAAGGAAGGAAGATTTTTAAAAATACCAAGAAAACTGATTACAGTACATTACTTTGGAATATCAATGATTTCAATACAACTTGCCCCAAAATAAGAAAACAAACAACTATAGTCAAAATAACCAAAGGTAAAGCATTTCTTCAACTTCCTTTAGACCAAGGGCATGAATAGTTTGATACTTCAACTATAACCTTACTTTCAATATGTGTCCATCCATTCAACTACATCAAAGCCATAACTGACATCTTCGTGTTTGAAACTATCTTTTTCAGCCACTTAAATCTATTTAAGAAAGTTTGCCATAGGGAATAAGTTTTAAACTAAGTCTACATCATGGAGATCTCAGTGCCATTTTGGGATGATGGGACAGCTAGTGATGAAGCCCTGCTGTGCCCATTTACAGAGTAAATCACATAAGTCATAAACAGTACTTTGAGGAAATATGGTTAGAATCAAACTTTCAAAACTGTCTGCTTTGAATTTAGAGATTCATTTCATATTATATATCTCTCCATTTTTAAATCATGATGTACTCAAATCACATTTTCTGTCACAACAGAAATACTTCCCTCCAGCTGAACAGACTAGGATACTGCCAGGGTATGCAAACAAGTATGTAAATTTCAAGGCCGCATTAACGTGATAGTTTATGACTGACACTCCATTCTGAAGTGACAAACAACACCTTCCCATTACATAAACTATCACTGTTGAGTTTTTTGGGCAGGATGGGGCATATCCATAAGGCTATCATTTTAACATCTTACTGCCAATCTGAAAACAGAATTGTAAACTTTCAGTATTCTTATTTGTTCCTTTTAATGTAATGTTCGGATAAAGTTGATATAACAAAAGGTGCTTATATATATGGGTTGTGACTGGGATACTGACAACCCCCCCCCCCAATCCTCAGTTGAACTCCTCTCCCAGAAGCCTCCTGCATAATGCTTAAAATCTTTTTCATTCCTTCTACTGCGTAACTGTTGCACAGTTTTTAAGCTTGTTCAAGGAGGAGCCTGGCAATACCTCTTTTGCAGGCTTGGAAACCATCCAACTGCTCACACAATGGACCACTGCAAGAGTAGCAGGAATGAACAAGGTTCTACTCAATGTTTACGATTCAAGTGCACAAAGATCTTGACCACCACAATCTCAATTTAAAGCTGCAATCCTAAACAAACTTACTTGAAAATAAGTCTGAAATTTCAGACTGCATTTATTCAAACATTCCATGTATTTCAGGCTTTATTGTTTGTATTTTTAAATAATATTACTAATATTATTTGTTATATGATCTCGGGGAGAGCATTAAAATGCACTTAATGTGCTGTGTATAACTTAAAGAGAAGTTAAATATTTTAAAAAAGAATCAATTCTTTCTTTCTTCTGTTAAGACTCACTGGAAGTCAAACCAGCTTTCAAATGAATTATCAGCTGCCCATTTCCAAGTAAAATAACATTTTCCCCAAAACTGACGAGCTAGCTAAATAAATATTCCTTGTCCCGGAATTGCTAGCAATTCATTTATCCTCTTTTCTCTTGTCCAGTATAAGCATCTGGAACTGACAGCAGGGACCAGTTTCCATACACTTCTCATACACAAGTGTTGACCTGTATACAAGAATGCAAGTTAAGTCTCTTTCATACAATCATCACTACAGAATATCGAAGCTGGAAGGTCATTGAGTCCAACCCCCTGTTCAATACAGGAATCCAAGTATCAAAGTATATCTGACAGGAAAACCCTGTATGTCTCAGGTAAACATGGAATTTACTCTTTATGTATAAGCTTGTTTTAAAACTGAAGGGAGAGAAAAATTTTCATCCCATTTAAGAATCTGGGTGAAATAGGCCACACACCTATTACTTATACCAGTCAGCATAAGTCAAACAGTCTTAGTCACTGCAGCAAATTGATTCTAGTTAAGAAGCTGGTGTTTGTATTTCTTGTCCCACATCAAGTCACATGGCTGGTGCATGACAAGAAATATATATAAATATATATAAGTCTCTACTTCAGTAGAGGCAGTCTGATGCCCTGATTTTACATCATATGTTATGCTGGCATGTCAAGTTAGAAGATTCTGGCCATTATGATCTAACATAAGAACCACATAGTCCTACATAGTTAGAAATACCATTTAATTAAAGAGGTCTTGTTTAGGGTTTTGCTTAGGGCAGTGATGGCGAACCTATGGCACACATGCCACAGTTGGCACACAGAGCCCTCTCTGTGGGCACACGAGCCATAAGTCGCCATCGAGAAATACTTATCCGTCCTCCAATCCTGGATTTTAGCATTCCCCTCTGCTGGTGCAGTGGTCCAGTGGAGGGGTGCAATGGCAACCATTACCGGTCTAGCTCAATGGGGGATTGGAGGACCAATGAGTATTTCTTTGTTGATACTGCTCATAGGAAAAACACAAGCATTTAACCCTTGCAGTGCAAGGGCAGTTGTTTTTTTTTTTCTAAACAATAACCTCAGTATTCAGTTTTAATTGCAGTGTTGGCACTTTGAAACAAATAAATTGGTTGTGTGTTGCAGTTTGGGCACTCGGGCTCAAAACAGTTCGCCACCAATGGCTTAGGGTTTCTGTTTGCTTTCTTAAAGACTGAATGACTGATACAGAACAAAGATTCATGTCATTCACTCTAAAGCAGCTTTCTGAGCATCCCTAATACTAAAGTCGAAGGAAGTTAATTGGAACTTCTGGAAAGCATACTTGAAACAGAGTTGAACCAAAGTAAATCAGTCTCCAATATTCTTATGACATTTAAAACATAGATGCATATCCATAGACATACCATAATTTAGCAGCTGTAGAATAAAAAATACCACTGTGAATTAGCTGCCAACATTAGTTCTATTCGAGATGTTGATGTGCCACCTTCCAAAGGACAAAAATCTCTTCCCTTAACCTTATGGTTTACATAATTATTTGATCTCGACAGTTTATAATCTACTGTAGTTATATATTTAATAACAACACATAAAAATCCACAAAAGCATTTCTTCTTTAAAAAATGGCAATTGTATTAAAAGATTTTTAAATGAATAAACGTCTATCTGGGATTTGAAATTACAGTTAGAGATCTTGATTTCCAGGTACATCACATTACATTTTTCCATTGTTGGCTGAAGGTACATCTTATATAAGAGAACATTTAAAAAAAAAAGCTGTACACACAAAAACCACATAAATGTCTGTGAGCTTGAACCAAAACAGCCCTGAAAGCCATGGGAATGAAAGTGAAAGGGGGGAGGGGAAAGGTCAAATGAAAAGCAAAATAAAATTAATTCCATTAATAATAGGCCTTGTTGTTCCAACTTGTTTGCTATGTTTACTGAGAGAAAATGGTAAAATAATTGTTTGTTTGTTAGCTGAGTATCCCTGGAACTTCCACAGGTTGGCACCGGCTGCAACAGCTGTTTCAAAGGCACTCTTACAGAAACAGGGTAGCTGTTGGGCCCTGCATGGCATCTTAGGAAGTCTTTGTACTTTCAAGGGCTAGGTGTCAAAATCAAGTCTTGCCAACCCCTCACCCACCCACCACAAATTAAATTAGAGGAACCATCACTGTGCCCTTCCTCTTCCCCCCCCAAACCCCTCCCCAAAAAGACACACAACTTAAAAATTGTGCAGATCTGTAATGTTTTCACAGCTGATTTTTTTTTAAAACACACACACACACACACAAATAAATGCTTTCCATTCCCTCCGTTCGATACAGCAGGTAAACAAAATAGAAGATTTCACAAGTAATCAGCAGACTTTTTTTTTCTGGCACCTTGCGCACTGTATTGGCATCAGTGTTATTAAAGTCCCAGGTAGTACACGTTCAATACTTCTTCGGATGGGATACGCTTGTTAACTGATATTCCAACTTTGCATAGAAATCCTCAGAATTGCAAGTTTTTTTGTAGTCACTAGTTAGGTTCCGATTGACAAAGGTAAGACGTTCACTTCCCCCACATGAAAAAAAAAAACATTCCTCTTTTGCGGCTCCCTTTCCATTCTTCTAGAGCTTTTTGTTTTCAAAATCTTCCTGCTATAAAGCAACTACCAGCTCCCCTCCTTCTTTCAGCTGCAGAGGAGGCACACACAAACTTTTCCTACTGGTCATCAGTTGCCAATACAGCCCTCTGTAAAGAGGTTAGGTACAAGAAATAAGCGACAATCAAAACGATGGCACGTACATGCGGACAGCACCAACACTTCCCCAACGAGACTCTTTTTTGGTGGGGTTTTATTCTTCTTTTTAGGGAGTCAGATGTTAACTAAACACAATGCATACCCATGACACTGATCACCACCCGCAGCAGTGCTAGGAGAAGCCATACCCCTGGAAAGAACCCGGGTGTGATGCAAAATCGATTCAAAAGCTCGAGTTTTCACAGGATGACATTGGCTGCTGTGTTCCCCGCCGCCGCTATGTTTTCCGTACAGCGTTGTTGCTGTTGCTGTAAACCTTTTTTATTTTCAAGATTTTTTGTTGTTTTAAGAAAAGAAAGGGGGGGGAAAGGAGGGGGGGAACACAATGCAGAGCAACCGCGGTGGTGCTGTTCACTCCTCCCTCCCGCCCCCTCCTTTTCAGAGGATCACACAGGAAGAGCAGCACTGATCGTCCCCATTGGGCTGCGAAGCATAGTTCATCTGCCGGACGATCTCGGCAAAGAGTTCGTCCACCGAGGCTTTGTTTTTGGCTGAAGTTTCCATAAAGGGGCAGCTCCACTCCTCGGCCAGAGCTTTGCCTTCCCCGAACGAGACCTCCCGCTCGCCTTCCAGGTCCACCTTGTTGCCTACCAAGATCATGGGCACTTTCTCGTACCTCTTGACCCGAATGATCTGGTCCCTCATGGGCTTGATGTCCTGAAAGCTCTGCTGGTTCACCAGGCTGTAGACCAAGATGAAGCCTTGCCCGTTCTTGATGTACAAGTCCCGCATGGAGGCGAACTGCTCGGTGCCGGCCGTGTCCAAGATCTCCAGCACGGAAGGCGAGGAATCCACCTCGATCTCCTTGCGGTAGAAGTCCTCGATGGTGGGGTCGTATTTCTCGATGAAGGAGCCCGTCACGAACTGGACGGTGAGCGCCGACTTGCCCACCCCGCCCGAGCCCAGCACGACCACTTTGTATTCTCGCATGGTTCTTTCCGCGCACAGCCGGAGCGGGCGAGCTCCGCGCGCGTCTGGCTTCCCTCGCCGGGGCTCTGGGCGCTTCTCTCCCCTCCCCCCCTCCGAGAGGAAGGCGTGGGGGGGGGGGAAGCGAGAGGGAGGGAACGTCGGAGAGAAGCCGCCCTCCGCCCGCTCGCCCGCCCTCTCTCCCTCTTCGACGGAAAGGAGGTTTCCTTTCTTCGCCCGAGCTCCGCTAGGCGACGAAGGCACTCCAGAGGCGGCGGCCGCAGGAGGAGCGCGGATGGCGGCGGGGAGTCGGCCACTCGGGCGGAAAGGGGCAAAGGGCTCGCCGTCGCCCTCTCACACTCCGTCCAGGCCCAGGCCGGAAAAAAAAAAGAACAGACGGTGGTTTGGGGAGGGGGAGAGAGAGAGAGAGAGAGAAGGGGGCGAGGACGGAAGGCAGACCGAATGGAAGGAAGAGCCACCAACGAGGCTTGGGCGTTCGCTTTCGCCTCAGCAGCTCAAGCAAGAAGGGAAGGAGGAGCAGGAGGAGGAGGACGCAAGGAAGCGCCCGCGACGGC